TGGCCTGCTGTTCCGGCAATATCGGTCAGACTGTCCTGCTCTCCATGGCCGGTGACGACTGATCCACCAAATGAGGCGGAAGTCCGCAAGGAACTCCAACTCTTGAAGCGTTACAAATCACCTGGCCCAGATAACTTACCTCCGGCTCTTTTTAAAGATGGTGGTGACTTTCTGACTAAGGAATTGACGACGTTGTTTACAAAGGTTTGGGAACTAGAGAGTGTACCAACGCCATGGAATGAGTCGATAGTTGTCCCTATCTTTAAAAAGAGTTCACGTCGTTCCAGTAACAACTATCGGGGGATAAGTCTACTTCCGATTGCGTCCAAGCTATTGGCTTCCATCATACTTCGTAGGTTGTTCAAAACCCGAGAAACATTGACTCTCGTGGATCAGGCTGTGTTTCGTTCTGGTCGAGGATGTATTGATCATATCTTCACCCTCCGCCAAATGTTAGAACACCGTCATACTTTTCAAAGTCCAACAATCGTAGTGTTTCTTGACATCGGGGCTGCCTTCGATTCGTTGGATAGGACTGTTCTCTGGGATTTTCTATCGAAGAAGGGTGTACCTCAGAAGTTTATTAACATCCTAAAAGCCCTATATACAAACACCTCAGGCAGAGTGAGGGCATACAACCACCTCTCTCCATTGTTCCATTCGAGCAGTGGGGTTAGGCAGGGTTGCCCAATCTCACCATTCCTCTTCAACTTTGCCATCGATGACATTCTGGAAACAGCTCTGATGAATGTAAGTAATGGTGGTGTGGATCTGTTGCCTGGAGAAAGACTTCTCGACCTTGAGTATGCGGATGATATTGTCTTACTGTGTGATAATGCCCAAGGCATGCAATCCGCACTCAATCAGTTGGCAATCAGTGTCCGTAGGTATGGTATGTGCTTTGCACCTTCGAAGTGCAAAGTACTTCTACAAGACTGGCAGGATTCCAACCATGTACTCACCCTGGATGGTGAACAGATAGAAGTAGTCGAGAAGTTCTTGTATCTGGGTAGCTGAATAAGTGCTGGTGGGGGTGTGAGTTATGAAATCAATGCACGTATAGTGAAAGCCAGACCGGCTTATGCCAGTCTGGGCCACCTTTGGAGCCTTCATGATGTTAGTCTGGCTGTAAAAGGTCGGATCTACAACGCGTCGGTGAGAGCAGTTTTGCTCTGTGTTTGTGAAACCTGACCTCTCCGAGTTGAGGACGTTAGAAGACTCTCTGTGTTCGATCATCGTTGTCTCCGAAGGATTGCTGACATCCAGTGGCAACACCATGTCAGTAATGCAGAGGTTCGGCATCGTGTGTTCGGGCACAGAGATGATAATTCAATTGGTGTCACCATCTTGAAACACCGACTTCGGTGGCTTGGACATGTTCTACGAATGTCGTCCCAGAGGATTCCACGTCGTGCATTATTTGCCGACTCTGGGACTGGTTGGAAGAAGCGGAGAGGTGGTCAGTGCATGACATGGTGTCGTGGTATGAAAGAAAGCTGCAAAGGACTGGCTTGTGTTGGTCCTTCACGACTCCCTGGTTGGGGTCCGAGAGATGGTGCTACACAGTGGCTAGAGACGTTATCAGATATGGTTCAGAATAGAAGCCAGTGGCGATCCTGCTGTAACCTTCTTTTACTTTCTTCGTAAAAAGTGGTTGTGTCTCCCTCAATTGAAAGATTTCTTCTGATTGTACCTTTCCGCTCCCTCATTAATACTTCACTACCTTACACCAATCTCTTCGTTATTGTTCTCTTTTTTTATGCTCCTTATCTTTTTTTTCTCTTCGAATTCTCATTGTTTTGTGTGGCGCATATATGTTGGCGCTCTCTTGTACCAATATTTATGTGTTCAAATAAATAAAATAAATAATACCAATTTACTCTAATAGTATGGATCTTAAATTTTCGGAGAATAGATGAATGCTTTATATAAAACTGAAATGATTGCATTAATTCTGAAGATAAAGCTGATGTAGCTTAAGTAATCTGAAATCAAATGTATATAACCTCATTCTAAGCAAAGATGGATAATAGCTAGTACTGGAATCCAGGAAGTGCGTTTTGTTCTATTTGAAACTCGTCAGCTGGATGTAGATGAATCTCAGAGTTGATGTTCATTCTGGATCGCGAACACAGTACCTCAGTTTGTTTATTTGTTAATCATAGTATCTTAATAGTTAGTAAGAAACTTAGTTAACTTATTCTGTCCAAATAAACATTTTTTTCTTGATCTATAATGATATGAATTTAATTTAAATGTCTTTGATCTTTCTTACGGATACACATAAACATAAAGATCTATAAAAAAGATTGACAATTGATTAAATCACATAACAATTTCATTCTTCTTCTTCTTCTCGAATTCACCTACCATTATGTGTCAATATTATAAGCGATTCATTAAACACATGACAGAAATTCATCACCATAGTTTTAAGATTTATTCTAATCAACATGATCTAAACAACAATTAATATTATTATTTCATAAATTTTTGTTGTTGTTGAAGTATTGATCGATTCAGTGCAATGAATAAAAATGGTTCTTGTTAAAGAAAATATGCTATGTAAAAATGATTAATCTCTTATAAGTTATGAATGAGAAAATAACGGATCTTTTCTACTGATACATCAATACTGATATAATTTGTAATCGTTTCGATTATCTTATTATCGCGATTTTGTTATGTTCCTTAATTTGAATGCTACTACTGATTCGTCTTACTCGGAACGGAACGAAGAATCAAGGATCCAGAGACTGGATAGGCTTGCTAGGTTTGAAGCTATCACGAGTTCACTTAATCGGCGAACGAGAACAAGACTCGGTGACCAAGGACCAGTAAGCTAGCTATTGATGCGTCCCAGCCCCGTTAACTAGAGGGAGAAGTCCAAGCTTGGAATGGGAAGTATATTCTGCAAATCAGCCAGGAACGAGCGATAACAACAAACACAATACAAAACGTATATATACAGTGCAAAAGCGTCCTTGGGGAGAGTTACCAAATAGCATACTAAAAGAAGCAACGGACCAAAAGCATTTATTTCCCAGTGGGAAATATGATATGGTGACAAGAGCGCCTTCAGCACGAAAACAAAGAAATTCAAGTTTTCCAAATAAATTACAAAATTAGGTTTTTTCCCAAGTGAGTTCTGGGGATCTAACGTCCCCAACAGATTTTGAATATTCTTAGTATACATATATGCTGTGCGAATCGCCTCCATGTAGCCATTACAACATTTGTTTATATTGAGTGGGTGGAATGTGATTAGCAGTGAAATCTAGAAAGTGAGTTTCACCTGTTGATATATTATCTCAATTTTGATATTAGTATTTGAAGTGAAAGGTACTGGGATTGAACCCCTGGATGAATATCAACTCTGGAATCCAAGCATATATGACTAACGAATCCTAGATGAGACGAAGCGCACACCCTGAATTTACTTGCTAACGACATTTCACCTGTTCTTTACGATTAATAATGACCATTATTTTTTAGAATTTCCCAATAAATATTTGAATAACTTTTAATTCGATTTCATGGTTGAGAAAAGTCCAAAACTTTAATTCCAAGTAAACTTATGACGTTAAGGAAATCAAGATAAAATGAATGATTTTCCCCGTTTATAGTCATTTTGTCAACTTATTTACATGAGATGTAAACTATAGACAGTAGTCAGTATCACAGCTTGTTGGTGAAAGACTTCAGCGGAATAAATAAATTCATTATTTTCTTAATGGTGGTCTATAGGAATCGCTTTTCAGTCAAATGACTTCATGCTTATGCAATATAATTAAGAAACTATTTCCGATTCCAAAAAAAACAATAATTGATTTTAAACTGATCCCACCTTAACTATTCTATTTATTAATTTAAACATAAACATCGGTACAAAGGGTGCCAAAATATTTATTCGCCACACAATTCGTGTGCAGGCCGGGATACTGCCTGGTTCCCAGACCGAAGGAGATAGTTTTCTTAGAAAGTCACTTCGCGAGCCTTTGACCGAGAGGTCTAATCCACAAGGCAGTGGAACATTAGATGAGGTCGCATGGCAGCCAGTGACTAGAAATGGGTTCATACACCGTTTTTTATTCCAGAATTCTGAAGTTTATATACACCACTGGTTTCTAATCAGAACTTTTCATCTCCTCTATATAGATATTCAGTACCTACCAAACCTGTTTAGGCACCGAAGACCCGATTTTCGTCCACTTAATTTTGTAATGAAATGATTCTTTTGTACTAGCTCTTTAAATCTTGTCACTGATGTTTGGGACTGTGACTGATGGGTCTCCTTTGGCATATGTGCATTCTATGCGGGCTACCTCGATATTACCATGATAAACAGAGATGGATGGTGCCTATCAATGGAATCTAGTATGCTCATTCCATCCCATTTGGTACTTTTCAACAGGATTTACTTGAACCCTATAATGTTTACTCCAGGACTCCAATCTACTACCGTTCGCTCCAAACGACATCGCGTTAGCCAAAAGCAGACTGATGAGTTACAGTCCTAAGCATCAATAGGAATATATAAAAATCCAATGCAAATGAATTAAACTTCACCCCATGGCACGCGCGAGTATCTACTTGGATATACATAATTATCAGGTAGAAACTGCAATGCCGTTTGAAGCGAATGGTACTAGGTTCCAGTCCCAGAGTGAACACCAACTCTGGGATGCAAGCAAATCCAGCTGACGAGTCCCAAATGGAACGAAACGCAAGTCCTGGATTCCACTAATAGCCGCCACGTATCTCTGCTTATAATAATTTGTAAATTACTGTTTACGTCAAAACTAAGGTATATACATTTCAGAATCGCTGTACAATAGCTGATGTTGGTCCTTGAGAAAAACTAACCAACACTTTATCTTGACTCCCAGTATTAATTCCTAACCCTATTTTGTTAAATGCATTGTGACCCTAAGGCGATTAGTATCCTCGTCACTGACTCAGTGGTTCATCTTAGTTTTTATTGGAAAACGGTTTTCTGTCACGGAAGGAAACAACCGTTGAAGTAGAATTTCACGAGATGTTATTTGTTATAAAAATAAATGATTTTCTCCTGCAAAACAATGTATAACAATAAGACGCGGAAGAAATCAACATTTGTTCTGCATTTGTTTCCTTTTATACGTGTGAAATCGTTATGAAACAATACAAGTAATTGTTAAAGAAAAAAATTGTATGAAAAAGTGACATTCAAAAAAATTCTAAATGTATCACAGATATTTAAGTAGAAATATAAGTAATTTGTAAATACGAAATGATAAAATGATGTAAATGTTGAGGAACATTATCAGAAATCCATTCGTTTTATTACTATTAATATGATTATTAAAGAAGGACCCTCGTTTCTTCATTCTGTAATTATAATTAAATAGAAAAGGTTATAAGAAAACTAAATGTTTAAAGATATACAGTTGAGATTCCTTATCATCAGGCAGTATATAATAGTGTAACTTAACTTGTTTTGTAGCATAAATGATTTAATTATGTAGATCTACCTCAAAGTTTTAATAACTTATTGCTTTTTTACCAGGATTAAAAAGTGAGCTTTAGTTTGAACAAGCAAAATCAACCGGTCAAACAGACAGCATTTGAATTACTAGTACAACTAATTTGATAAATCATTTTCAACGAAGTACGTCGATGTATATTGGGTTTGTTTGGATCCTCAGTATAATGGAAGTACAACAATGGTAAGACACTAGTAAAAGAGATTAGATGTGATCAAACCTCGAAAATTAATGACAAATGTAGCTAAAATAATTAGCATATGTACAAATCAGTTGGGTCGTATATTTTTTCTTTCGTTTAGCGTATGATGATTGACGACCTTTTAACAATGCTAAAATGATCTTGAAATGTCCACTTAACTACTAGGATTAAATGAGGGTTATATATTAGTGCGGTTGACCTATTAATGTTTTCATCACGAACCGGCATCAGCTATAACACCACAATGGTATATAGCCAAATAAGTGAATGAATTTTGCACCAAAATCCAAGACTTGTGATCTGAAATCTGATTGGTTCATCAATAGATTATAGTCTTGCCTATAGGTCTGTACCTAAAATAACCTCCCTACCAGCGTTCAGTTTCAAGTTCCAAAACTATTTTAATCGCTAACCGAAAACAAAGTCTCTCCGTCAACCAGATCTTACGTATTGGGTTATATTTAACAAGCTGAAAATACGAATTACTGACTCCCATACCTTTGTTATGTACAAACATTGCTTCGGTCACATTGATTTTTTATAATATCAACAAAAATGATTCAAGCTCCTTGATTTTTATTTTGATAAATTTCTCGTTCTGTTCTGATACGAATTATAGAAACGTTGGATGTTCCATATTTGTGTTTATGTGATTTATGACTAACGAGCTAACCTTATGTGTTACGTACGAATAGTCAAAAAAAGTTTACTTCTTAAAAAGTTGCATAATAATGAATACAAATGTGTAAATTATTTTATATCAAAAGTTTAAACACAGTAAACATAGAAGTTTTCTAGAACAACAGTATCAGTAAGAAGTGTTTGAATAATAAGTAAAAAATGTACAATCAAGTTAAGGTGCACGTTAAAGTGGTTTTTCATAAAATTGCATAAATAACCTTTATCATATAGATAACTAAAATTTGCATAGAATCAATTTATGTGATCTATGAAATATGGTTCTGTTGTTATCTAGTTTTTAATGATACACACTGACTGACGCAATTTTTTGCTTACAAAAGGAAAATAAACAACGATGTACTACTGAAAACCAACACAGGCAATTTATTTGCATTAAAAAATGTTTTCAGAGAAAACAATCATTTAGACGGCATCATTTACAATGATAAATATGTATGTGTGTGTATTATACAAATGTAAATTGGCAATAAAATCTTACCTTCTTTTTGAATCAGTCTGAGTTTCCGGATTTTTTTTCTAGATCCCACGTAATGCCGTTTCCACAGCATCTGAACACACTCTAAAGTGTTCCGATTGAGCTTTTAAAAGTTTTTTCAACTCTTCTTTTTGTGAGTCCTAATTATTAAAAATAGTAGTAGTGTGAGTAGTATTGTTTTTCAATAAATAAGGAAATAAAAAATAAACTAAATAGTTAAGTTTTTATAAAACCGATAATCGGAAAAATAATTTTGTTCAGAAATGTATCCAATAAAGTAAGCTAACAATATTAAGACTATTTTGAAGGTATAAAACACATCTATTTAGATGAAAAAAAGAGAAAAACAATAGCCAGACATTAGTAGTGATTTCATTGGATTCAATACACAGAATACTTGAATTGTTTTCTATGGTCGAATTCACTTTTGTAAAAAGCGTCAATCGTGCTTTACGTAACGTAGCTTCAATTGACTCATGATCTCAACCATTGAAAATAAATATGTGTTACACAAGCTTATATCAAAACACTACCTGAAAAAATAACAATGTCTCAGGGGTTTTCGTTATTCATATTTAGAGGATTTGAAATGAATTCTGGGATGGTGGGAAAGATTAATAGCTCAGATGGGTGATTTTTGATGGGGTTTCGTTATCCGAGCTGGATGGATTAATTGTGAAGCTTCCGTTGTTCTTTTGAACGTCATCATCGACACAAACTTCAAATAGAAGTGAGATAGTCAAAATCTTCCCCATGGGACTGGTAGCTTGTCCTCACAAACTTGATTTTGACAGGTCATCGTTGATCTTTAACTCGTTGTTGTCTGCATATTTATTTTGAATGTTTCTCCCTTTAACCTGATTCTCGACCACCTAATTGTCCATCATTTTTCTGATAAGTTGATAAACTGGTTTGATTTAGTTTTTATTGATTATTGATTAACTTGAGAGCTAAAATGCTGAGACCTTTTTGGTCTTGATTATTTCCCCCTACCAAATATCTTGAGACTTTCCCGGTCGAATATGTGCCCGCAATTTTCCATGTGCATTGATACAAGCGAAAATACATCATAACATTTGACGGCTGATTGTTTCATGAAGACGACGACAAGCTACCAGTCATATATGAAGAAACCTAAATATCTTATTCTTACCTGAAGTTTAAGCTGATGATGTTGTTCAGAAGAGCAATAAGAATTTTTCGATCAAACCATTAAACTCAGAGAACAAAGGATCAGCGAAAAAGTGTATTCTTGTCCTTTTTATGATGCAGTAGATTTTTATTTTGATTTTTTATTTATTCGACGAATAACTTTAAGCAACAGATTCTAATTATTAAATTCTACATGAATAATATCTTAAACAAGTATAGTTGGCTAACTAACTTTCCTATTTCAATACTACACATTAAACTGGATAATAGTACACAGATGCAATAATACATGATTATTAGAAAGCAAGAAGGTTGGGCGGGGTACTCTATCAGTGACAGCAAGTAATACATTTTGAATAATAGTCACAACTGTTCAAATCAACTACATCTTAATTACGGTTATGGTTTATTTATTGTCATGGTTTTCAACAATTTCACCCCACGGAAATTGTCAATAGCAGGAAAAATTCTTAACTACTTCAGAATCCTCAATTCATGTATGGTAATAATGACAACATTAATAATAGCCAACAATTTTAAAATGACTGCATATAACTTACAAATTTGTCTATGCTTTCTTGTAAACAACGTCTAGTGGTTTCACACTGAATATTGAATGCTGATTCGGCATCTTTCAACGATTGATCAAATGTCTTCAGCAGGAAAAGAATGCATAATCATATGTATAAATTTATGTAGATGAAATAATTTTAAAGATTTGGCATGAAGACTCTAATATCCAAAACGTTTGTGGAGATTTCGGAAAAGTATTCAGTTAACACCATAGATTGGTGCCGGATATCAACCTAATACTTCAACTGTTATATAATTGTTGTGTTATCTGAAAGTCTTGGGTCTAATGAGTCTCATACTAGGATGAAACAGCTGTTCAGTACATTTTGGGTTTTTAATAGTTGTTATATTAAGAACAATTAGTAATGTAAGCTATACAGTTAAAGACTTGTTAAACTCTCAGACCAGAGGTAAGTGACTTCAAGGACTGATGCCACGTCTTGGTTTGGCCGCCCCTAATTTCCAACGGTCTGCAACACTAGTCAGCATTGCGCATCGGGGTAATCGATGTCCAGGCATACATAACACGTGGCCCAACCATTTCAGTCAATGACGATTTACAACCCCATTAACTGACTTACCGTCATCCACTAATACCCTGTGTCTAAACTCACTATTATTTACCCGGTGATCCCAACAGATACTGGCAATACTTATAAGACATCTATGATCAAATACTAGTAACTTAGGAGTATCTTCGACTCTTAATGGTCACGTTTCACAGCCGTGGAGTAAAACAGAACGAACTGCTGCACAATATACTCGTCCTTTAATTTATAGACAGACATTTTGCCTTCACCACAGGTGACGTAAGTTGGCAAAAGCCAAACGACTCTTCTGAATCTGTGTTCAGATTTCGTCAGACGCCAACCCATTTAGGCTGATCAAACTCCTAAGATAAGTGAAGTTGTCAACGCGTTCGACTACTTCACTCCCTATCTCTAGTTCAGGTGTTGACGCAGACCAGTCCTGAAGCAATAACTTGCATTTAGAGGAGAAGAGCATCCCAAACATTCTGGCATTGTTGCTCAGTGCTACCAAAAGACTCTGCATTTCATAAGCGTCTTCACCAAACAGGACTATATCATCTGTCCTCCTGGTAGGACATAAAAAGGCCTGAAAATTCAGTCGATGGGAACGTTATTTCCAGAAGTAGGTGTATGATTAAGTTAAACAAAAATGGAGAAAGTGGACAGCCTTGACGGACACCACTTGAGGTTGCAAGAGCAGATGACAGTTCGCCATAAGCTCTGACCCGACTAGTAGTGTTCGAGTAAAGAGCCCTCATAAGGTTTATGTAATTCTGAGGTACGCCTTTCAATGACAGACTCTGCCACAGAATATCGCGGTCTACGGAGTCAAATGCTGCTCTTAAGTCAACAAAGACCACCATATTCGGATGCCATTAAGCATCCTTGTGTTCTAGGACCTGACAAATAGTGAATATGTGGTCGATGCAGCCACGACCAAGTCTGAAGCCAGCCTGATTTTCTCGTGTTTGTAGTTCACGAGTCTTAGTTATTGATGCTAGCATTTTAGATGCAATGTTAGTCAAACTAATTCCTCTATGGTTGTTACAAAATGATTTTGACCCTTTCTTATATATTGGGACAATCAGTGATTGTGACCAGTCAGATGGGATTACGTCCAACTCCCAACAGCACTCAAGACCATTGGTCATTTTATATGTACGTACGTTTTCAAAGTTTACATCATGAGCTGATCCTAGCTGAACAACCTTCGAAAACCAGGCAACACTGAGCAGCTGTTTCGTCTCAGTATGGAGCTCCACAGTAAAGCTCATCTATGCCCCTACTACAGGGGATCGAACCTAGGACCTTCGGATTCCGCGGCGATCGATTAACCTATGAGAAACCGAGCCTGTATCCAATGGTGTGCATTTATAACTTTGACCAATTCACGATATTTTGCTACCACCTTCCGTTGCCTGAGATCAATAAGTATCTTATACACGACAAGGCCGAGCTCAGTAGTAAGCACATAAGCATCGTTGGTATAAAGCATTAGTTTGTGACGCAATCTATAAAAATTCAATAATTTCTATAAACCCCCAGCAATGTTGAGTACACCTTACCAAACATTCGTTTCTACGAACAGATAATAGTCATATTGTGGTGTACGGTACTTATGTTGACAGTAGTATGTAGCCTCAATCGGAAGTGAAATGCCTGTCGACAGAAGACTGAATTGAAGAGAACAGGAAGGGAAACAAAGTACAATTGTAATAATAACAGAATTGAAGGAATCATGAAGCATGTAAATGATAACTGAAGGAAGGTGTGCAAGTAATGTATTTAATGTATGGTTTGCATATTTTAGTGAGGCAGTTTGATTTGCCTGTCTCAGTTCATGTTCACTTCAACATCACAAAAAGACCAATAAAAATCAGTGTAAACATTATGTTCTTTTCAACATTTTCCCCAGTACTACATCTAACTTAATACGATTACTTGTTTACTTACATTTCTTATTATTTATTTTAATTAGATGAGCGAAATAAACTATTTGTTTAAAAAATGGTACACTAGTATACAAATTAAATTCACAACACAAAAACTTTAAAGAAAGACATAAGCCTTACATGTTGTTTGTTATCTTTTGCACGTTTCTTTGATGTTTTAATACGATCTAAATCTAATCGAGCATTTTCCAATTTTTCTCGTTCTTGCTGCAAATACCCATCAAAAAGAAAACAAATCTAGTCATATACAGAAACAAGGCATCGAAAATGAAGAACTCTTTAAAGCGAAATAGAAAAACTATGGATTTACCACTTGGCCCTCTTCTAGCGTATTTTTTATGGTCATTGTTGAGCATACCGTACTTCAACCAAATACGAATGGCTTTCATATACACAAAAGATATATAGATGACACTTTGCTCATTTGTGATGAAAATGGTGACCTAATTGTCATCTTGGATAGGTAAAATAGTTGTCATCAGTTAATTAAATTTATATTTGGCTTAGACGAATTTAGAATTTCACTTTGATTTCTTATTAAGAGAAAAATCAGATGGTATAGTGCAACCTGAAATAGCTAATATATGAATTTTCATAGCTGGGCTCCATTAAAAAGGAAGAGAAATTTATTTCAATGTTTATCCTTAAAACCTTGGCAAATATGTTCCGAAAACATATGGCTATCCATCTAGATCCATCGAAAAAAACATGAAACCAAAGTTATTCTAGAAAACCTGCAACAGTTCATAAGGGTATTTTTTCCATGAACATTGAGTTTAAGGAGAATACTACTGCAAAATTTTGAAGAGCTACTATCAGTTTCATGTTCTATCAAATTTAATCATCACCTTTCTCATATTCGACAAGTGGAAAGTTATCTTCCATAAATTCGGATTCATCTTAATACCATTCTTTAAATTGTCTGTCGTTATACAATTTTCTTTCGACGCCTGAAACTATGTAATCCTCTGTCTATTTTTTAAAAGACTATTTATTAATTAACTGTAAATACAACTGTATAGCCTGCGTACACGATATGGTCGAGAAAAAAAATTTCTTTTCTGAATTGACTTTAATTTTTGTTTGACAGAAAAACCAATGATGATTTGGACATACATAGTGTATTTTCTCCTAACAAATCTAATCACAGAATTTATGGACAAAAGTAACAAGTGTATTTGCAATATAAATTCTCCAGAAAATAAATCTTTAAAAGTACATCAACTGACATAGTACATGAAGTGTATCCATATGGTACCAAAACTTGTGATTATTAGGAATGAAGTGCATCAAATTCAGAATTTTCAGTTGAAACCACAAGTCGATCTAAGCTAGACAACCATTGGAAACCTGGAAGCACTGGATAGCCGTTTCATCCTAGCACAGGACTCCTCGGTAGTGTGCTTATACGACTCCACACCAGGAACTTGGACCCAGGACCTTCGGCCTCGAGCACAAACGCCTAACCTCTAAACTACTGAGCCAACGTTCGACGGTGTTAATATCTACCTTCAATTAATCTGTGATCTTGCGCAACGCTTCATTCATTGCCTAAGGTGGATATCCGTTTTGTAACCGATATGGACTGAACTTCATTGGTCACGGCCTCTCACTAGAACTCCAGGAGTTATATCTTGGAACTAATAACTAATGAGAACATGATTGTCATCAGTATTTGAAATTCAACAATCTTCACAAACTCTTTGTGATAGTACAGTGTTAAATGCTAGGTTGTTATTAACTAATTGTGTTCAGCGTTCCATTCTAACTACTTTTCGGCTTTCGACTTAAGAGTAATTATACGATCACGTCAAATATTATTTGTGAATAGACAGTAGAATATTATTCAATAGTTTTGCTGAAATTCAACGAATGCTTTTCACAAATAGGAACATAAATTATTATGCAACCAAACATTACATGTTAGTCATCCAATTAAATATACACAAATAGAGTGAAATGAGTGTTAAATTTAAAAACAGAAAGCATGTTTATACAGGTAAGTGCATTAAAGAAACAACTTGATATTAATGCCAATTATAAGAAAAGTACTTGTTTGAACATGAATTTATAATGTAGAAAAAAGTAAGAGAAAGCAGCAAAAGATAAAAAAACAGTTGACTTACTTATCAAAATATTGATAATCAGAAAAAATTAATATGATATTTTAAAAAAAGTTACTTTTGCTAATTTGGCTTCAGACGCTATGTAAGAGCGTAACCATTTAATGTATTCTGAAGTGACAGTTTCTTGCAATTTTCTTTCAGATTGTCCAATTTCCATTTGAGCCATTGCACATTTCTTAAGTGCATCACCCGATGAACCTACAAACAAAATTTTATTCCAATCATTTTATATATATAATTGCATATTTGTATCTCTTCTATGTTGTCTAAGATTGATCTAAAAAAACTGTTCTGTTATGGCTTATTCCTAAAAATTTAACATTTTCTCATACAGTATGAAACGAAATTAAGTGAAAAATCATTAGAAATCCAACAAAGTTAAATGACCATTGATGTTCATAACTTAGAATAGATTCTATTATTGGTGAACACTGTTTTACAAAAAGTGAACTTAAATTGATCCCGATTATCATGATGACTGCAAGTTTCAATTTCAACTGAGAATTTTAAGCTCTACGTATGGTGGTTCTTTAGTATTTATCTTCTTGATGATCATCATCCAGATATTTGTTTCTTACTGTATTGTTACCAAATATATCGGCATAGATTTCAAGATAATATTGTTATGTAAAATGTCATTGCACATCGGAAGTTATTTTACGTCGATATACATATATATTGTCATTAGATCATGTTTTCTGGCTGCCAACAAATACACTTTATTTCGAGAATTGTCTTAATGAATACTAAAATGTCGGACAGAAGTATAACTGATTCAAACAAATACACATGAACAATTATTTTCTACCTTGTTTTGACCTTGTTCACTTAGTTCGTTCTGTTTGAAAGAGTAAGATTGGTAATGTACAAATAATATGATAACGATTAATCAAAGACAGACTTGTAAACCACTGGATATCTACTCAGTGGTCTACAGTTTAGGCGTTCACGCGCGAAACCGATAGCCTTGAATTCGATTCCTGGTTATGAGGTTATGGATGTGCACTGCTGGCGAGTCATATACTACGCTCAAACAGCCGTTGAACGCCTCCAAGTTTTTAATAGTTGTCTAACTTAGAGTAGTTAGTGATTTCAACAAAAAAACATAACAAATTCTACGTCTTACCTGACAATGTAAAGGTGTGCCTTACAACTGAGAAACATATGTTTGAATTTTTTACACAGATAACAAAGAAAACAAGATTTTCTGTATGTACTGGTATTCATCCAACTAGTGATTTATTGAGTTCATGTCTTATTCACAAGAACAAACCCGGTAAACTTTCAACTATTTGTTATACTCGTGACCACCGATTAGAGAGCAGTGACTTATCGATCGGATCAATGACGCGAAAACCCGTATGAGCAGCCAAGAGTCCTGATTGGTCCCGATTTCTACCTAGTCCAGCCAGCTAAGTCCAGAACACCAATCCGAGCCTCTGCGATATGAATCATGTATTTCAAACATACTCGGTTTATATACCGATCAGACAGACCACATCGTACCAATAAAATATGAAACAACATTTGTACAAGAATTAGCTAGATGTGGTTGTGAATGAGGGAGATAGTAATTAATATACTGGGTATAACTCAAGAAAGTATCAAAGAATTATAAAGTAGTGAAGTAAATGAATATTTGTACGTCATCAGATGTGAAAATTCCAGACAGAGATGTTTCTAGAGAATACAAACTAATGTCGAAGTTACTTTATAGTAGCCATAAAACTGATTATATTAATAGAGTAACATAAGTAAAGATAAAAAAAACAGCCCATGATTGAAAGAAAGTAATTTTTATAGGATAAAAATGCTGAGCACTTGAATGTTGAAAACTAGAAGTTACCACGGTTGTTAGAGACTAAATAGTTATTTTCTTTCTAATACATAGGCTCAACTTCAAATTTTTAGCAGCGATGGCATTAACGGAACGTAGTAAACTAGAATTTGTTTGAGTATTGGTTATTTTAAACGATTTTAAAGTACCGAACTTGTTTCCATTATCGAGCAGATGGTGAACAATAACATTGTTGAAAATACGATAGCTTTTTCATTCTTTATGGAATGTGCTTCGAGATACAAACAAGAAGCCTCCTTTCCGTTCCTCCAATAAAAATGTTTTGGCATGAACATGTAAACTGATAAATACAATTGGAGGTAATATGGGGTGCGAATTTGCCTACTGTTACTATTTTAATGAACAACACAACAAAATTAGTTTGGCGAATGGATACGTCGTTTTCGGTGCAACATTTTGTCAAGAATAAATCATGCTAATTATTTCATCAACTTTGATGCTGGCTTTCTCCCAACATTAGCGAATTATATTCACTTACTTCTTGTTTTACCGTACTTATAACTCCTCCATAACTATTGTCGTCATTATACTAATCTTTATTATTATGATTGTTATTGGTTTCTAGATTATAAGGAGCTGACGAAAACTCCACGAAATAAATAAATTCATCTTATTCCGTTTCACTTGCTTGAGTTGGTTAACTAATGAACAATGTAATCTAAGATCTTTTCATCTACTTTACAGTTATTTATGTAAAGAATTAACCAACATATTTTTTAACATAGATGCGACGCTATGGTAAGCACGAAGACTTCATTTGAAACAAATTTATAAATTCTACCGTGTAGCTAATTAATAAGAAATAACAAACTATGAAAACTACTTTTTGGGACATTGTATGTTTAATTATTAGACTATAACTATTAACATCCAGTTTATGTAACTGAGATGGTGGAGAAAATTTGTAGCTCATGAGGATGATTTGTGTTTATGTAACTCCCCTACTCCCTTAATTATAAGCTTTCATTTAATCTATAAACTATAGTCATATATTCGATCCCAAATTTATTGTAATTTGAACACGCGTCCTATGTCTATTTTTATACTCCAAATACCTTAATTTGGCATATATTGCATTTTCTCATTTATAGTGAGTTCTGGTCCCATTGTTTATTTATTTATTCATGTACCCTTATGTTTAAAAGAATTTGTATGTTGATGTTTCTGTCAGTCAGTTTTTCTCAAGTCCTGCTAAACAGTCACTGCCCGCATAGCAGAGCAATAATCAGTGAATAGGATAGTTCTCTGTCCTCAAGGCTAATTAGTCATAAATCGAGCCCACACATTCTCAGTCTCAAGGTTATATTGAATAGCCTGAACCATCAAGACCGTTAACTAGCTCCGTGACTAACTTCCCCGCATATTTAACTACAAGAACAGTTGGTAGATCAGATCCATAAGTATATATATCATATCGATTCCGATCTTATAATTAACCAATACTTTGTTCGTTATGCTGACTGTAGTTTAGGTTCTTTGTCGTTAGTGGGAATATTAACTCAATACTTACAAGAACACTTACAAACTAAATGGCCAGCCTAAACGGGAACTGGACGGACTTGACCATTCGGAAAATATAAATTATTACATTAAATGTCTTTTCAGTTTATCTTAAGTTGCATAAAATAGGAGATACCATTGCTGAAGAGTATAAATATGATTTTAGAGTCTTGTATGTGCATATCTGATTTTAGATAATGGTGTGAAGCTGTGCCATCAGAATTATTAATAATAGGGTCAAAAAGTAAGATTACATTTAACGAAATATACTCATTAGACTAAATCTCATCTGCAACGATAGATACTTAGGTATATAGCCAATTCCAGTGAATGTGATACCATAAACACTGGGTTGACATTATATTCAATAAATATCTACCTAGCAGAAAACGGCTTAGACTCTAGATTGATTACAGAAACTAGAAAAGTCTATCTTATGCACACAAGCCATGTACTGGACTAAGAAATGTAGTTCACAGATTATAATTTCTACAGAATAATCATCACTGAACCAGAGGAAAGGGAACTATAGAAATGTTCAACAATAAGCAGAAAAATGGACTTAAGGATATCTAGAGTACATTATACCTAAGTAACGGATAAAATAGCTTGTATAACTGAATGCGATAAGGACTTTCACATATACTAAGTACTCTTACTCGACCCGAACGTTGCAACTACCTTGACATGGTGGCCGGGATGACCTATCGTAATGAACCAGTCGAGCTATACTGACTGGAACAATCGTTCCTCAAGGTCCTACCATGCCAGACAGGTCGGTTGAAGAACGGCAAGACCAAAAGCGGCAAACTCAAGGTCTGAGGTGGATGTCGTACTGCTGACTGTACAGAGGTGTGACAGCAGTGAGGCATTTCCTTCAGACAACTAACATAACAGCGATGCTGCCTTCACGCAAAAAAGGGTGGGTTAAAAAATGTCGACCCTTAAAATGCACACCTCACCTTATCCTATGGGTTTCCGTCTCCGGCGGTAAGGTCTCAGCAAGTATGGAGCTAACACGAAAACTACTCACAAAAAGGCCGTGTGTGACCGACCTCAGACAGTTGCCCCTTGGGCACTGCGGTCAAGCTCTCGGGTCACAAAGACCACCCCTAACTCCATTTCCTTTCCAGGTACCTCCACAACAACCCTTCCATGGTGAGGTCAACCAGAAATTGAAAACGTCCTCATACCTCTAACAGCACTCAAGATCACTGCATTCATAATCAATCTCCCTCTTGAATTCCTAAATATTCCTCCCATATCGACTTTCAACTCTAAATTTCCTCTTTCAAATTCCTCCTCAAGTGTCACCACAGCCAACGATTCTGGTGCGCAAAACACTGTCCTAGGTCTACTGAAACCTCGCTCCAAACTACACATTGGAGACTTTAACGTACTCACCCTATGCCAAATCGGCCAGCAGAAATTCCTGGCTAAAACCCTGAAATCTTGTACCATTGATGTATGTTGTGTCTCTAAAACACACATACAGGATCCTAGTGTAGTAATTCACTTGACCTCACCTCGGAAAAACGGAGAGCCGACGAGATACACCCTCTGTTTATTTGGCGACCTGATGGTTAGTTCTCGTGGACTGGCGATTGTAGGTATGGCACTAAGTACGAGGGAAGAACAAGCTCTATTAGAATGGATCCTCGTTAACAGTCGTCTATGTGCTGTTTGGCTAAATGGCTCCATAAGAACTCGAAAGGATAGGGACACACATCGTTGCCTTTTCGTCGTCTCTGTCTACGCTCCCGCTGACTGCAGCCCGGATGAAGTGAAAGATGACTTTTATTGAAAGCTTTCTGAACTTCTGCAAAAAGTTAAACGCACAGACATAGTACTCGTAGCAGGTGACTTTAAAGCCTAGGTGGGTAGCTTAAACCAAACAGAAAGATATTTAGGTAGATATTTTAGTATTCAGGCTCATTAAACAGATGATGGTGACTGTATATTGGAACTGTGTTCGAACAATCGTTTATTTTTAGCAAGCATTAATTTTAAACATAAGGAGAGATATCGTCTAACATGGCGACCGCCTGCATCAAACCGATCATAGACTCAAATAGACCATATTGCCGTCAGTCATCGTTAGAAAGGCTCGATAGAAGACTGTTGCTTGTTCTGGAATGCCTGTTTGCACTCCGATCATGCTCTAATACGGACACGCGTTTGCTTGCACCTCACTGGACACAGGAAAACCACATTAAGAAGACCCATTAGAGTTGAACTCGGTGACGAGAAAACTAAAAGTAGATTCCAGGAAAACCTGAGGTCACATTTAGATAGTTCTGAAAAAGAGGCTGACCCAGATGTTGCTTGGAAACATATACAAACAGTAGAGAACTGTCATCTGATTTTGCAACCTCAAGTGGTGGCCGTCAAGGCTGTTCACTATCTGCATTTCTGTTTAATTTCACCATAGACCTACTGCTGGAAATAACGTCCTCGTCGATTGAATTTTCAGGAATTGATCACCTTACAGAGTTTTGGTAGCACTGAGCAACCATAAACGGATGTTTGGGATACGTTTCTCTTTTGACATGCTTATTGAAATGCCTAGATGAATAATTGTGCATTATATCGTATCAATCCAAATTATATAAAAATATACTAACATACGTATTAACCTATGACTTTCAAATAAGATTTATTTTCTCGACAATGAGATCTCTCTGGTACACCAAAAACAATACTAGGCCATCGTTTAAGTTATATTTTTAAATCAAACAAGTTTGGTTTGGATACCTTAATACCATAATCATTGAAGGGCTAATTACGTCATTTATCGACTTACCATATTGTGAGTTTTTATTAATTAGGCTACTAATACGATCCATACTTTCACCTAACTGTTCATTAGCACTCAGGCGAACTTTCTCCCTATTCATTCCTCTAAGTATAAGATCTTCAATTCGTAGGGCTATGGAAAAAATTAGGAAAATCAACTGTTAAATAGATATCTTATTTTAAAAAGAAATGAGATTACTGTATTTTAGGCATTTTCAATTACAATAAATAACTTAGTTGACCAATGGAAAACAAAATGTAAATCGTTATCAAGTTTGTGTATTATGTGAATAATTTTTGTAAAGAATAACGTGCTTGAATCAAGAAACATTCACTCAACTTCATAAGGTATTTCATTTATTTTTTGTTTTAAAGATACACTAATACTTTACTTTTGTTGTAATTACAATGAAACTCCTCATATATTAATTATTTTCGATTGTTTTCTTTGAAAAATAACTTAAAGCTTTTTTCGCGTTTCTGATACCGATTCAATGTAGAACGTTCTCTCCTTTAAAATCAACGCTTTTTAGCAACTAGATTTGAGATAGCATTTTGGAAAAAAACCTAAACATAGACTATAGCTAACCAAAGGATAAATATTTTGATGAAAGAGTACTACACAAAACTAATTTTAACTTTGTAAAAGTAGAATAATAATGATAACACAAGTCAGAACAGTACACGTTTCAGTAAATATATTTTTAAGCTTGTATATTATTAATTATACGATTATACTTGTAATACTTTGATAAGATTGGAAGAATAATTTTCTAAACAGCATAATTTAAAGCCAGAGAGATATGCTATTGTTTTACCTGAATACGACATTATTTAAGAGTCTTACAATAAATCACCATCTTTTACACGAAATTATGCTATTGTAGTAATTATTCTATTCACTGATGACCTCGATAGCAACGAAATATAGTATTTATTGGTGTTACCGTTGTAAAAAAAAGAGTTCTGATAATAAAAGTGTCTCACACGTCAGGAAAAATTAAGCTAAATTTATTATTATATTATTGTTCTACAAGTGTTCTGTTTTAATGAACCTTTTAGAACAATTCAGGATAATCTTTTGATAAAACGTTGTTTGTTTAACAAAGTAAAACACATAGTTCCTAGAAATTGGGTGTGTCGAGCCCATGTTAATTTCTTGAAGACTTTTTAATAATCTATCAAGTTGAACTTGACATGTGTTTTTATTTTCAGACAACAGTCTATCGGACACTTCCACACATAATTTTCTTCCCAGAAATTATCTCGAAAAGATAAATTCTTAATCTAGTGACCTTGACTTGCAATTCAAAAGCTGGGAAAAAAATTTAAAAGCCATTTTTATGCCTTTTAAGAAGAATGTCTAAGGACACTTCTTGTTTCATAACTGCTTGAATATCAAGCCAGACGACCTGAGGTTTGGGGGCAATATACATCTTGCCACAAATAAACTAACAGACAGTTGACGGTCTTTTCTTCTTCCAAAATTATTTTTGACAATTCCACAACTTAAGGAATTACACCACTTTAGCTATCACTTGCCTTACTTTTTCATAAATGCTACTGTCAACAATTACGTAATATGTAATTATTTTAACCAAACGTAGATTTAAAACATTCTACCAGAGATCAATATAGCCTCCAACTGGATGCCTTCTAGGTAAATTATTATCACTAGATACAGATATTTGGATGCGTACTCTCTACCCTACTATCTAGCATTTAGTTCACAAGTGGATAGGAAAGATTCTCGATATCTAGCGATATTAGATATCCATTTTGATGTATTTGATTTCAGACCAAAGTGATTGCTATAACCCTTGAGTTTTTTGTGAAATTCTGATCAGTTTTACTTGGAAAAAGCTGACCTTATTGGTGGAAAATGTGGAAACTAAAAACTTAAAATTATATATACAGTGATATATGTTCTGAAACAACCAACGATGGTTCAGCTAGTAAATAATCAGTATTTATTTATTTATTTCAACACATAAATATCGATACAATAGGGCACCAAATATATATGCGCCACACCATACTTGTGTGTGTGTGGGCTGTGATACTGCCCGGGTGCCCAAACCGAAGCAGGTGGTTTTCTTAGGGGACCACACCCCGAGTCTTTGACCTAAAGGTCTAACCCACAAGGCAGTGGAGCATCGTCAGGAAATGCAATCCCATGGTAGCCGGTGACCAACGATTGGTTCATACGCCATATGTCCCCGCAGGATACTGGAGCCCATGTGCACCATTGGTTTGGGATCCGGTTAAAGCGCCGGACATTCGCTTTTCGTCCTCTCAATTTCGTAAAGAACAGTTATGCCACGAGAAGGCAGTGAGTAGGACTTCCCTGGCTGAGGCTGTATACGCGTGGCCGTGTGAGAGTATTTCGAGAGGGATGGCGAACTCACCCCACTCTCGGCCATACCAGGGCATTTGGGGGCAATAACATTAAATCATTTTATTCAAATATGTTTGTGGCAAAGTTTTCTAGTTTCATATAGCAACCAGATGGTGTAAATCACTAAAAATCGTTGACAAACTTGTAAAATCCCTCATTTCGAGAGATATTTTAATGTCCTAGGACAGATGTTTTTGTGAAAGTAACTTTAAATTTTTTGAAAATTATACATTAATGTAAATTTTCGATCCACGGATAAACCTGAGTGATGTTTGAGTTTTCATGTCTCCTATCGCACTCAAAATCGAAAGCAAGATCACGTCCCTATAAACGGTCATGATGTTTAAAATTATGTGTTGGTTTTACATAGCTTGTGTATTCTAAATATTTAATCAGTATCTTAATCTTAAAACACACTTTGAAGGAAATAAGACCCTCTGTCCCCAAATCTTATTAATTTTAAGAAGTATAATATATGTTTGGCTTATGAATACGTTCCTAAACATTTTCTGTAGCCTTTACAATATTACTGTAGAGACTTCTTGATAGAATGAAATTACGAGACGATGATCTAAATGACATATGGTTCTTATTTGAATGGATGTGGACATTTTTCTAGGGAAGCCATACAAAGAAAAATATCTTACATTCGCCTCGTTAGTGATGACACGATTTACTTGAGTTTACGTTGAAGAAAGGAACAATTGAGGAATTCTGAATTTATCGTACTTTGCGTGAAATCTGCACAAAAAATGTACAGTTTTGGCACTTTAACCTAGATGAATGGAGAAGATTTTAGTTCTAACGCTGTCATGTGTCCATTATATAAATAACAATAAAAGTTTGCATGTAAATACTGGGCAGTCAGTGAGAAATCACGCCATGTAGGGACATGTGGGTCAGATGCACTGTGTGCTCGAACAAACAATAAAATTGTGAAATGAATTTCGGAGAAAACCGCTAGTTTTCTCCCATGTTTTACATACTGTTTGGCCACAAATATATGTTCTCTCCGAGTTTTCACAAGCAGTAATGAAATCCTAATATCTCTGAAAACAATACCTGGATTCGGTTGAATCACATTTTCAAGTTGTTCCAAAATGCTCACTGCCCAGTTTCTCCGTTTTTCACCTTCTTTCATCAATTCAGCTAGATCAGGACTGTAAGTTGTTCGTTCAGTAGTACCAAATGCCTCTTCAACAATCTATCATCAGACTTTGATAACCAACTAGAAAACTTTGAACCTGCGAAAATCGGCCAAAAAATGTGTTTGTATCATTCTGTATTTTCTTAGTATCCATGACCACCAAATAGTGATTACAAAGTAAACTTTTGATTAGTGCGCTTTGCAAGTTAAAAATGTGCCGTTAGACTAAAAAAACGTTTTTCAATCTAGAACACTCATCTAATGAGAATAACGGACAATTCATTCATCTTCTCGAGCCACTTTATAGGAATAAGATATTATGTTTCAGACTTTTAGGACCTCCAGGAATAAATTTATTAATCAATATGTTTGTCATGATCTATAAACCGGTTAATTTCTTTGAGTTTGTTTCTTATTGTTTGGCTGCCGTTTTAGGTATTTGACGGAGTTTGTGAATAAAAAAATCTATTCATTAACCAAGATATGTCCACCACACCTGACGTACTATAGATCATTAAGAATCTATAAAAAAATGCAACCCTCTTTTGCACAATTCAGTCCTAGATCCTGATTGCTTTTCATTTTTGACTTATTTGTCTAATTTATATCAATTTTTGTAAAACTGGGTGGCACAGTTAATCATGGCCACACTAATAGGGAAATCGAATTATGTAAAGTAAGAGGAACGATGGGGGACATAATTCGAAATTAGTAATTAGGTAAAATTAAGTAAAAATACGTGGTATATTATAGGTGAAACAGTTCCTTCAAAATGCAACTAGAAATAATTCTTTCATCTGATTAGCTTTCCACAACTGCCAAACCAGAACTAATGAATTAACGATCTGATAGAAATCCACATATTCAGCAACTACAGCAAGTTCATTTACTGTTTCAGTAATACTACACGATGTAAGTTAATACCTTTTTTGTCACATATACTCTCTGGTTTTGGATTCCAACCACAGACCGCTGATCCCACACCACACAGTTATGAACGGGGTCACAATAAAATGGTACAGGCTCCCAGAAAACGGAATGTTGGAGTGACCAAACAAGGGTTACGGCTCACTACCTCATTTCCCTTGACACTTTTAACAAAAAAGGATGATGTCACCTTTTCTTTGGTGAATCGACCATGTTACTACTCTTGTGTTTATCGGAACTGGCCTGCAAACACAGAAAAGTCAGGGCGAACACAAGCAAATCACACACAGACGAGCGCAATAAAACTTCACATTCGGCTACCTACGAGAGGCGGGTAGGGGTTACACTAGTACGCCTAACTTTTATCCTTATCAATTGTTCAAAGGCACTAACTCCTGGGATAGGGTTTGGTCAATTAATATGTGCTCTTCATAGCCTAACTTACTAGTTTCACAGCTACATGTTGGCAGCTCAGTACAGATTATCCCACACTTCCATTAACCTAGTAGGCACTCAATTCCTCCATCCTTTACTGATCGTATTTACTCAATTCTTCATTAACATTGCGTAACCTCATTTAACCATCACTATCTGACCACACTACTAGAGACTGAAGCTATCAACTCTTGTAATCAGCAGCTAGTGAATGCACTTTGTTCATAAACGATGAAACTAGGTACAACTTGTAAGCGAATTGTCATAGAATAGTTGTGGCTACGCTATGCAGCAAACCCAATGATAGCCCAGGACTGAAAACAAATCAGACCAAATAATACTGAAGCAACAACTAATTAATTAAACAATTAATTTATTAAACAAACAACAACTAAAAAGCTTCCTCCATTTTGTTGTCTAGTCATTAGATTTGGTCGATCACACACTGTTGGTAACGCCACTAGTGATTTATGGGACTACAAGATGGCTTGAAAGCGAAATTAATATAATGTAGAAGAATATTCCGTAATATAAGTACATGATTATGTATAACAGCTCGTCGTTTCATGCATCATCATACCTGATGGAGCACCAAATCATTCTAAACCGCATTGTACTCTATCATACTATGAAATATCTCACTAAGTGGAAGAATCACTTACCTCTTTACCAAAGTGGTTCACTACAATATCTCCGTACTTACAATATTCCTCGGCTAATTTATTTGATAACATTATTGACACGAGCAACTGAAGTATAAATAACTGTAAGCAACAGCCCATAATATTTGGGGATTCACGTAAACTGATGCATGTCACTGTGTATGACAACGTTAGTTCAATATTAAAGTCATCCATAGATGATTCTTCCAATCGGTCTTGGTATGTTTCTTATTCGTAATGCCTTATTCAAGCACACTTAATGAGGCCATATACTCTTATCCATTCAAGTACTGAAGCTCTCGATATTATTAGCAGTATCGTCAGGAATGTAGTAAATTTGGTCATGTTCCTTAGCTATCCATATAACTCAAGACAGAATTCCAAATGAATTCTGACTTCGCATACGATGACCACTAATTGAAATAGCTGTATAAAAAACAGAACCTTAACTTCATATCCATTAGTCTTTAATGCATTATACCTTCGATCCAATCTAGGAATTAGATCTTGATGACAGTTGACTTTACCATGAGACATGTACGGCATCTAAACACCGTTTTGAAATCCCATAATGCTTGTGCCATTGGAGACTCTTTGATAATCACAGTGTCGAAGGTCAATTATCTTGGTGTTACATTTTCCTCTGATCTCTCTTGGTCTGCCCACATTTTATTGTTATCGAAGAAGGTTTTCTGTCTGACTTACTACATAAGGAGGTTGCATGCTTTTGAGATTACTCGTCATTTACTCTTACAATTTGTCAATTCTTGCATATTACATATTATTCTTTACTATTCTCCATTATTCTTTCCCGGGCTTTTGAGAAAGACTCTACTGTATTGCGGAGAGTGCTGAAGGCAGTTAGCAAGGTGTGTGGTGAATCTTTCGACGTCATAATTAATATGGTTGTGGATAGACATCTAAGGTCATGCAAACTCCTGGCAGGTGTTATTTTATTAGATACTAACCATCCCCTCCACTCTTATCTTTCTCCTTGTACATCTTATGGTAGAACGAGACGTAATTACATTAAAATCCATGCTACAAGCGAAAGTATAAAAGTTCTGTAATACCTTACCTAGCAAATATACTCTTTGACGAACAGGTTGTTAGAGTTAACTTTGTCATTAACCTGCATTCTTAACATGTCTCTAATTTGAAAAGTTTTAGTTTCCGATTTTTTCACCTTTTTCCCTCCCTTTTGCTGTTTTTTTCTTTCGTAAAAGAAAATTGTTGAAATACCTTGTGCTAAGAATTCTATGTTGTACCAAAATATAGTATTGAATAAAGCCATTAATAATAACATTGTGCATCATCCGGTAGTACGATCACCGAATATCGAACGGTTTGCCGACCCTCTTTAAAGTCAAAGGACAATAAACACGCATTAATCGATTGCAAGTCATGAACCAGACCATGCAGCAGTGCTCGTAGCGTTTCCTGTACATACTGTCACCAACATAATAATATTGACTTGTTCTCAAATAACAGTCTGTTATATAAGGCATCCCAGTTTACAGGCAAGATCAAAGTGTTACGAAAGATACAGGCTTCAATGTAGTGGGTTACTCAGTTATATTATTATTTTATAAGGTACATTGGTCATAGAATTATGGGAAATAACATTTCTTACATATGAATGATATTAGTAAGACTCGTATTGTCAATATGTCAGTTTGAGCGATTTATGGAGGTTACATTGCGACGTGCAACTGACGGTTGGGAATAAATTAACGTAAAGTTGAAAGCTTCTTGAAACTTCAGCCTTATATCGTTCTGGAACATTATAGACAACAATGATGACTTAGGACAAATCTACTCGTCCCACATGTGTTCTTGGTGGAATATCTCGAGAGAGCTGAAAATGAGGGTAAGAAATAGGGAGGATGAGAAGCAGAACAGACAATGTTCATGCCTATTGAAGTTGAGTCATTTGTGGTGGAATAGCTAAGATATGACTACTTGGTCTAATTCTCTTTCACTAAGGTACTTTTCAAGCAATAGCATTCTAATAGGTATGAATGGACGAAGAACTGTATAAATGGAGGTGGTTCAGAAAGCAGCTGAAAGCTTAGAATTATGTGTAGTTTACAATATATAGTACTGAAAACAGTTTCTTGATACACAAATAACTATCCCTCTTTTTGTCAAAGCTATTTCAGTTCGTTTTTATTTCTTATGATTTTATATGGTCAAAAAACCGGCTCCGCTTTTAGCGAATCGTTTAGCATTGCTTGTAATAGGATCACACAGTAGGAAGTAGAATAAGTTCAGCGTCATAACACACTATTTAAAGAAGTATTTCGCATAACAAATAATCACCAATAGCATTGGTTTGTGACATCCTACGTGACCATATTGAGCCATATTTAAACAAATGTTCTGCTCTGCAGATATGGGTGAATTAAAGTTATCTCGCCACCATTTCTCCATTTGTGACGTTAGGCTCTCTTACGTTTGTGGTATGTATGAATATTGCTTTACGATAAGCCCCTTACTGGAATATACAGTCTCTACTAGTTCCATGTTACAAGCAAAACAGAAAACTAAAACTTGTGTATAATGGGTGAGACATCTATTTAGTATATCACACTGCTATGAAGATAACTAGTGGTGTGGTGCGTGATACTTATATTGATATAAGTAGTATATTATGCGGGTCAGGAACGTAATGTCTGGCAGCAGAAGATGAGGGAGGATCAATAATTATATGCACAGCTTCAAAGGTCGTGTGGTTAGGAACCGATATCACAACAAACTTACCTGGTTACAGCATTACCCAGATATACCCAGGGGAATAGTAGGTTCTCCTTGTTTTCAGCATTAAAATTATTGACAGTAACATAACAATATATGGCTCCATAGGATTCCAAATATTTTGATGAACCCAGATTGATAATTGCTACTGTTCTAATCAGCGAGTTGGGATATAAAACTATCAAGCATAAGAATGGATTCTGAGGAGTATAGATCTTTGTCGGTGACTAATTTACCAACTTTTGTGTAAACCATCGTTTGATAGTAACATCACATATACGCAGCAAAAGCATGAGATTTCTTGTCATATATTGTGAGGACATTGTTCTACTTTGAAACATCAGTCGGATTTTTACGCTCTTTACTATGAGAACTATCAATACAAAATGACTCTCCCCATAAATTCAGCAGATTGTTTGGGGCCTTTTCTTTGTGTCGTCGCGACGGTTTAGCTACTTGTAAATAATATAAACTCTCTGTATTAATAAGGTGCATATAAGACTTGTAACCACGTTACATAGTTTTGTGAAACTATTGCCTAATATGATATTAGTACTGCGCTAATAATAGACCTTATCCTAAAATTGTAGACTTGTCATGATAGAACTGCCTAATCTATAAGATCTTAGGTAGAAGTCATATCATCATCTATACCAACTCATCGTATCGTAACAACCACCAATACATGATGTACAACAAGCTTAGACTAGAGATAGAACAATATATTTAATATGAATAAAAGACATAAGGTGACATTCAGCAGGGACCACGCCTGCATGGCCGAGCCATGCCATACGATCAACTCCAATCAATTCAACCCATTGTTTCCGCCTTCTCCATCGTTAGGTATTTCTCCGCGTTAAATACTGAATATCTATTTTCCGAGTTGTCTCGTGTTCAGCTTTGAGGATTGTGAGGTAAAGGGTCCAATGCCACAACAGTTCCTTTTAATTGGACACGAAATTGGGAAGAAATATCGCTTCCATCTGTACATATTTCTGAAGCAACCGCGACATAAGGTTCAATTACATCGATGACAAATGATTCAGAGTTTAATTTCACAGCAACGGCAAGGTTATCATCCTTCGAAAAAACTAATTAATCAGAATGAGGGTTCGTGGAGATCGTAGTAGTTCAGTAGTTGAGTTAACGAACCGATTAAAGCTAGATCACCAGTGAAAACCTGGATGCACTGGGTGGCCGTCTCGTTCTAGCATAGGACTCCTCATTAGTGCGCATCCACAATCCCGCGCGCGGGACTTGAACCTTGAACCTTCAGTCTCACGAGCGGATGCCTGACCTTCGGACCACTGAGCTAGTATCCAAAGGTGTTAATTTCTGACTTCAACCGGTCCACGATATTGCTCAACCGTTTGTCATTGTTTTAAATATGTAAATGCCTCATAACAGACACGATTGGATTCCACTGGTCATGGATTCTCACTAGAACTCCAGGAAATACCTCTTGAAGCAGGTCACTAGTGGGCATATGGTGATTATTAGCAGGATGGAGGTTTGTGGGGACTGTAGTAATTTGATAGTTGAATTCACGAGCCGAATAAAGTCAGATCACAATGGAAAACCTGAAACTATTCGAGTACGTGTGAACTCCAAGTTGTTCAGCTGGGAAACTGTGCTCAGCAGAGCACCTCAGGGTACAGTTTTGGGGCCAGTGTTATTCATCTTGTGTGTAAGTGACCTTCCTCGTCTCCTATCATCACCGGTCTTGCTATGTGCTGACGATGTCAAGATATGGAGGGCGATAAGAAGTAAAGGTGATAGCTCAGAACATCAAGATGACTTGAAGAAATTATCTGATCTCAAATCTCACAGTTTCCGATAAATACATCCAAATGTTTTGTGAGGCATACCGATCACCGTGGTGCAAATACATACATGATGAATGGAGAGGGTTCAAATAACGGGAACTAAGCTAAGTCCCGGAATACCGAAGCTCCCATGTGATGCTCGACTGGCTAAACTAAATCTATTCCCGTTGTCATTTAGAAAAGCTAGAGGTGACTTGATCTCAGGCTTAGAATTACTACATGATAAATTCGCACTTGATATGCCCTCACTTTTCCATCTTCCAAAACAGTCTACGAGGACACTCTAAAAATGTTCACAACCCCAGAGCAATTTATTTGTTAGCTGACTATCAAATTTCCCATGGAATCCATTACTTCAACACGTGATTGAAGCTCCATCCGTTTACTATTTAAAAGTAAGATTGGATTAACTGAGAGACCACCATTGCCAGGACAAACACAAGTCACCTAGCCTCCTGTCCATTCCAATCTGAAACTCGTTGGAGAAACAGTCAGACACCATCGCGCTTAGACTGTGTATTCACAAACGAAGAATTCCTAATTGACAACCTCCCAATCCTGGCTCCTCTGCGAAAAAGCGATCATGCCGTCATAGCCTTCACTTTTGTCATCAAAACTAAGCTAAGGTATCCCAACAATAATTTGCGTTGGAATTTTAAGCGGCTGAATGTGCCAGCTCTGCATGACTATCTACAACAGGTGATTTGGGATGTTCACCCTCAACTCGATGTGGACGGTCATTGGGACTTCTTACTGCACACGCTCTTATGTGCTACAAACCATTCAGTCCCTCAAACGGTTCCCACAAGCTTCAAGCCACCTACAGTAATCAAGAACCGTACCTTTCGCCTGCTAAGCCGCAAAAGGCACTGTTGGACGGAATACAAACGAAATTGCAGCACTTCAGTTTAGATACTTCTCCTGGCCCGGGTATGGTTCATCCTGCCATACTGAGGGAGGCAGCCTCAATCCTGGCAACACCGCTTAGCGTGATGTTTTCACACTCGCTAAGCCGAGGCAAATTACCGCAAAATTGGAAGTTGGCTCACATCACACCAATTTTCAAAGGAGGTCGACGCAATAAAACTTCAAGTTATCGGCCGGTGTCTCTTCTGTCATTACCTTCAAAGCTCATAGAGTCACTGATATGCGACAGTTTAAACAACTATCTACTGTCCTTAAATTTCTTCTCACCCCAACAGCATGGTTTCAGGAAGGGTTACTCTTGTATAACCAACCTGCTGACTGCGGTGGACAGATGGACAAGCACCCTCGATCGCAAGGGAAAGGTTGATATCATTTACCTTGATTTCTCAAAGGCTTTTGATAAGGTTAACCACTTGTGTCTTATCAATAAGCTCAAACGACTAGGTATCAAACCACCTCTAATCGATTGGTTTACTTCATACCTAAAAAAATCGACACTTTAAGGTTAGGGTTAATTTCACTTTATCTCAGGCTATGGAATGTCCTAGTGGGGTCCCCCAGGGCTCAGTATTAGGGTCTCTTCTCTTCTTGATCTACATAAATGATCTTCCTGAACAGGTAAGGTCAGACTTATTACTTTTTGCCGACGACGTGAAACTTTGGAGAGAGATACTCAACCAAGATGATATACAGGCACTTCAGGAGGATCTGACGCGACTTCAAAGTTGGGCAGACGACAACGGACTTACCTTTAACACTTCAAAGTGTAAAGTAGTCCATCTGCGACATGTCGCAAACTACAGTTACAACTTAGGAAACTCCTCTCTAGTAGTATCCCAAGTCGAAAAAGATTTAGGAGTCCTGGTGCCCTATGATATAAAGTCTTACGCTAACTGTGACAAAAATGCCTTCCGAGCAAACCTTGCACTGGTAACATTGAAGCGCATTTTTGGCCAGTTTGACGGACGAACTTTCCATACAATCTTCAATAGTTTCATCCGTCCCCACTTAGAGTACGGAAACATAGTACGCCCCCTCACTCCGAAAGGACAAGGTCACTTTGGAGCGTATCCAACGGCGAGCCACGAAATCAGTTCGAGGACTCAAATCTAAAACTTACGAAAAACGCCTCCACTCACTAGACCTTTGCCCATTAGAGTATAAGCGTCTTAGTGGTGATTTATTAATGGCTTATAGTATTCTTAACACTTCTAGACATCCTCTTAAACACCTACTTAAGCTTAGTTCGAATAATAACCTAAGCGGTAACACCCAGAAACTGGAGACACAACATAGCAAGACGGAATGTAGACATAAATTCTACTCCTTAAGAGTTGTCAAAAACTGGAATTCGCTGCCGGCCGATCTAGTCCAAGCGACTTCTCAGGAGTCCTTCAAGAGGCAACTTGACCTATTCTTAAGGACCAAGGACAGCATCACACTATGATTTACCAATTTCTTTTCCTCTTTTATTGTTAACATACCTAGGTTCCTGCCTGGAGGATTTGGTGATCCCCTACTACTAGACACGGAAGCCTGTTAAGCGAAAGCTTCTTCTATTCCGTCCACAACCATTTGAACCATTTGAACCATTTTGATCACATAAAACCTACTGCGCTGAGATAAACTAAGGTTACACAAATCTACAAATAGAACTAGAGCAGTGGATTTTTTAGACTACTGAAAATTTGATCAAAGGTCTAGAAACATACCGGTACATTAAGAAGCGAGCTCAGAGAAATCAATTATTCGGTCACAAAGATAATGGATGTTACTTATACGACCATGCCGAATGAGTCATACAATAGGTCTGTACTGTTATATATCAGAAATTGTTTCTACTAGACATTAAAGCTTCTTTTAGTGTGAGATTCTTACATTCCATGGGAACTGTTTAATGCATTTGCTTTTGTTTCATTAACTCAATCAGTATATGGATCTCGGAATTACGCGGTAACTTTGAGCTGTTTACGAAGATGTAGGTATCCTATCATAGCTATCCTGTTAAACTAAGATTGTCGGTATAAGTTAAATGCTTTTCTGTTTATCTAGGTCAGCCGATGCAGGAGCCACTAATGTTGCCAATGGAGGGACTCCTCAACCGCGACCACAGAACAAGCGCCTGCAACAAACACAAGCTCAGGTTGATGAGGTAGTAGATATCATGCGAGTAAATATGGAGAAAGTTCTGGAGCGCGACGCCAAACTTAGCCAGTTGGATGATCGAGCAGGTATGGTCCGCACCATAGATTTAATGTGTTTGCATTTTACGATTCTAAGTCATACCTTGCTACTTAGAAATTTGGTGTTCGCTATCTGTTTCTGTAAACTGTATGTAGCTCGACAAGAGAAAAATTAATGACGGGTACTGAGGTGATTACCACTTAAGATGGGTGAGGGTAAGCGCGTGAGCTGTTATAATTGGGCATTTCGTCCAAGGTTTCAGGTCACCAGTTCACATCATTCCGGGGACGTCAGACTTTAAGTTTAGACTTACTTACAACCCTCATGTCAGCAATGAAAATTCCACTCAGTCTAGGAAGGTTGTGTATCCGATTATTCTCGCGATAAATACTCTATATATGTGATGTAGCCTGCATATTATCTTCAGAATTGATTTTAAAAAAGCTGGTGGTCGTTTTATAACAATCTTTCGACGTAGGGAGTTATCTCTGATCAAAATGTTTTTGACTTTCCGTGACTCCTAAGAAAGCGTCACAAGAAGTGTGAACAGTAAACTGTTGACACATTAACCCACTTCACTTACTGTCATTTATATAAGCACTGACACAGACCGATCTTGAATCAGGATTTTTTCATTAGGGAGAGACAAATATCTTGGATATGCTCAGTGCTCAGAAGAATGTGTCTCCCAGACATAGTAATCGGTGGTCATGTTCGATCATCGTTGTGTCTGAAAAGTAGCAACACCGTGTTCGTGGTGTCGAAGTCAGCGTCTTTTCGGTAATGACTAAAAGTGAGATTCAGCTAAATGAAAATCGCGTCTATAGATATGCTTTCAACTCCCATTATACCAGTACCAAAATGTAATCCATTTCAACATCTGGGAATTTATGTGTAAAGACAGGTCAGTTGATTCAGTTTAAAAATGCGGAGCTACAAAAAAGAGGAGACAACTCACTCAATATTTCTTATTAACGAATGGGGTTCATTGTGATTTTCATTCTCACAGACGCTTTACAGGCAGGCGCTTCACAGTTCGAGGCCAGTGCTGGTAAATTGAAGAACAAATATTGGTGGAAAAATATGAAGGTATGTATGTTCAGCTATTTGAAAACCCTTATTGGTTTTAATTTCTTGTATGGTTTCTGTTGATATTAGTGAATAGCGATATTGATGAACTCTCATACTTTACGTTACTAATTATTCCGCCCTATTTCCGCAAGTGATATAATAGCATAACTTTATCGTCGGTGATAAATTAAAAGACGGTTGAAGTTGCGAAATCGGTGTATTGTTATTGTACCTAATTAATTTATGTAAAGGGCCCTCTTAAGGTTTAGTCATCTTCACTTGCAGTACTATTTAATAAACAAACTAAGGTTTGAGCCACTTTTAGCAGATTAAAGATATTTCTGGCGTCGAAATATGAAACCAAGTTGGTCTGCAACAGATACCTGAAATGAAATAATCTAATGTCCTTAGGAGTTAGTCTTACCAGTGTTATTAATAATCTCAGTATCAAAACTGCTGGAAAAAACTATTCAGTGGTACGAAAATCTTTTTAGCATGAAATTTCACACCGAATTTACGATTCTGTTGATTGGATAATATACTGAAGCTGATACAATAACCTCTTCGTTCAGAATAAGTCTGACCTACATAACTTTGCTAAAATTCTTATGTTGTTACGCCTTCGTTTTCCTAAATAAGCGTAATATTCTTAAATTATCATTGTGCCGCGGTAGGTCTCAACCAATCATGTGGTCCTTTACAGGAATATCGTACTTCACAATGTTGTAGTTGGCACTGTATTTTTCGGATAACTTTTATTGGTATTGGTTTCTAAAATGATTGATCAACAGGTTGTAGAGGGATTCAAACCAAGTTTATGTAAATCACTTCTCAGTTGAACTTCGAAATCCGACTTAAAGTGAGGTTTTGATGCCTCTCTGAACCTCATTATTCTTCTAAACCGTTTCGTGGATAACGGAGTCCGTCATTCACATTCTTTACAGTAGTTTCCGGTTTTAATCGATCCTAATATTAATAGATTAATATTAGACTAAACAGTATAAGTTTAATCAATAATAGTATTTTAGGGCCAGAGTTAACCCCTTTTTATTATTGGAATTTAGTTAGTAGTCAACCGTTGTGACCTATTCGGTAACAAACTGAGTCGGTGACTCATATGACTGACTCAGATCTGATTCGCATTCTTGAACTGTAGCCACCTATGTGTAGTGTATGGAGTTGACGAGTTTAATTGTTCTAGAGAACCGTATATCTTTACAGAACAATTAGAACAACCACCAAGATTTTCATTCCTAAAATTCATATTACTACATAATATCTTGTTTATTTTCAGATGAATATTATCATTGGTGCAGTTGTATTGGTACTCATAATAGCACTAGGATGTAAGTATTTGTTGGTAATATGTAAATTTCTTTTATTGCATGCTTCATCCGTTGTTGTATTTCATATTCTGTGTATGGTTCATATACTGCGCTGTGATCGATCAAATCGACATTTGCTAAAATGTGTTTACGTCAACTATAATTCCACTTTAAACGAAGTGCTTGCATTGAACAAATGAATTTACTTCCGCTTTACCTATGAAAATGCTATTTTATTTATAGATTTGCTACATTTTTAGACCGAAAAGTCCAACTAGCGTGTATTCATACTCAATAGACTTTATTTAACTATTGAAGAGATAGTATTTTATACAATTCCTGGGTTTGCAGGTGTCTGTTTGTAAACTTTATATCATTAATCGCTGTACGATTTTGGAGTTTTAAAGTTTTTAATGTGTATATTTTGTTATTTCTTGCATTTGTTGTAAATTAGAATGTTGTGGCACTTAATGTCGTTGGTGTTGTGTCCTTCTTTTAAAATGTGAGTGTTATTTGGTGAGTTATATGTCCGCATAAGTTTCATATGCTTCAATTTTTGTAGATACATGAATAAGGTGCATTACAATCAGTCATTTTTATTGTAAAGTTTTTGTTCACAGTGATTCATGTTTATTTGTGCAAACTCTGTTAAACCGAATTTGTTGCTGACATAAGCATTCAGCCAATCACAAAGTTGAACCTGGCACATATATACATCAGTTCAAGTTTCCACACCCAATTAGCACACTGAGATGAAATCGTCAGGGTAAATCGAAGAGCAATAGAATTAGTAACAGTATTAGTGGTAATAGGGAAGATTATGCATAAAACATATAATTCGAAAAAATATGATGTAGTGAAGTAAAGAATGAGAAAATGAATTCATGGGGAATTCAGAAACTTAGATAGAATCTAAGCTAAGACAAATTGTAAATGCACCTGCACACGATTATGATCCATGTCACCCAAAGTCTTACAACTGGCTAAGATAACCACGTGGACACCAACCAGGTAGTCTCCACCTGACTACATGGCCCAGTTTAACGATCAGTATCTTCACGGACTATCGACTCAATAACCACCTGTTCGCGGCGAAAACTTGGAAAATTTTTCATTTTATGCTGAATGAAATCAACAGGATCCACGGAATAACGCCTATTAGCTGTAAAAAAGTTATTCGCTTTTAGCATGAGGTGACTGATCAATAAGATGTATATTTAATGTCACTTCATACTGACTTTTACTCACGTAATTATATCGATCACAAGACTCCTTGATATTGAGGTGATTCCAGTTAGTGTAGACTGTTCTCAATAATATCGTTCGGTTAAAAAGTAACCTCTCTTTGCAACGATTGGATCGGCAAATTGTATAACTAAATATGTTTATATAAATCTGCACCCCTTGGGCTTATTTAAGATTTCCTTCCAAAGATAAAAGTATTCTAAGCATCCTACTTTATCAATCCGTTACTATTAATGTCATGGTACTTGAGTGGATTTAGATTTTCGGCACTAGCATCCTTTGCTTTTTGAATAAATAGAAACTCCTGCTTGCTTTAGTATTCGTTTGTGCTGTCTATTTCGTCAGTATGCTCCTTCTCCAGACATTAACATATAATTTCCAGTTAAAAGTGATCGAGATTCTTTGGTGTTTGGCACAGCGGGAGTTATTTTATCTGGATATTTCTAAGTAATACGTGGTATTTTCTATGATCCAGTAAATATACGTGTCTTCACACAAAGGTTAATTTTTAAGACAAGTATTGTAGATAAGGTCAGTAAAAAAAAAGCGTTCTTCCTTGCCTCGCTCTCTATCTCGCTCATCGTTTACTACGTACTATATTATGATGATAAATTTATTCAACTTCATTGATCTCTCCAATAATTCTGTCCTGATATCCATTCTTTGGTATGTCATTTTTCTTAACTAGTTTAAAACAGTTGGACCGGAAAAGTTGTTTTTCTAGAAAGCCTAGTTGAAGTTCAGTAACTTTTTATCAGGTTGCTAAAATTGTGGCTGGCTGTTTATTATCTGAAAACCATCAATTGCAGTATTTGACTATCCAAAGTTTTTTTAGTCAAAGTTAACTCATGTAAACAACAGTTAAATATGTCTATAACCCAGAAAGACAACTCACAATTCAGTATCATCTTCAAAAGTTTCTACATTTAACTTCTGGTATAAGGTTCTTAAACTGTTTTCTGCACATTTAGCTAAAAGATTTCTAGTAATCTGTTAAGATTGTCACACCCTTTTCGCGGTTTTCACGATTATTTTTTGTCAATTCATTTTATACAGGGTATATATTTGGCGGGAAGTAAGTTGTTTTCGCTTATCTATTTGACTGTAATAATGGATTTTTTTGTAAAGTGCTTATCACGGTGTTGTGTGTGTTTATTGTCATGATGTTGACTAGTCGGTCTGCTCTTTTGATTACTTGGAGTAATATCGTATATGATTGTTTTGTTCTGTCATTGATTGCATATTAGTAAGAACATAAGATTTCTGTTTCTCTATGCGCAATAACAGATAATCATCATCCTGCACAAACCTGTTCCACATGTGTCTCTCCCACTTCTCATTTTTACATACTTTATTTAGCTGATATTCAGTTTTTATCATGTCACTTAACCAATAATGAACATTTGAGGATTGCTTTATCATTTAAGGTGCACATTGTTAAACTGCTCATTTATTATTGAACAATCAAAATTTGTTTGAGACTTATGTTTAGTGAAGTTTTTTAGACAATTGAGGTGAAAGTATGCGATACTGACAAACTTAAATGACTTATCAGCCGATCAAGAAACTGCCTAATTACTAAACAATTAACAGCAAAAGACAATAAAATACAGTAGTATAGTAGTCTTGATCTAAATAACCAGCCTTGACGTGTCGAATTATTGGTTGTAGTAAAAGGAAAAGGTTATGTTCACATATTAGTTTTGTGAGTTGGGGTTATCATCCTATAAAGTTCTCGTCACCATCTGTGATGCAAAATGGTCAGAGTTAAGCTAAGGCTCTGATTTGGGTTTCCAAATAAGATTTATGGTTTTCATCAACCGACATCAGGTATGGCGCAATGTTTTGTTTCCCTCCTGTTTACAAGCTTAAGATTTAGAGTTAGAGAGGGAATATTATTTAGTTTCACTAAAAACTGAACTACGCACTTAATCACATCAAGTACTTTACCACACAATCTGCTTTAGGAGCGGACATGTTTTGCAATTTAGCTTAAGCACCACCTAAAATTCAATTTTTTTGGTTGGATAATAGGTATTTTTACTGATTTCAAGAATCTTAAGAACCAAATATTACTTATTTTTTATCCGTTAATAGTTATCTACCACTGCACTTCAAATTTCTACCTAAATACATAAAAAGTTATTTTAACTCGAGCCGCCAGTATACTATACCTTCACCCCTTTAAGTAGTTGTATAGATTTTTGTTCATAAAGTCATTTTTGACTTTCACATGGTTGATATAAAAAGTATGAACCAGTGTGCAAAGTTTATGTATTCTCAACTTATTATGAGTTGTTTGAACGGCATATGCTCTCCATATTATTGAGCAACGCATGGTGTAAACAACTCTTATAAGCTCATTCGTCACTTTATTTTATGTGATAATTAATTTAACTCACCAGTCACATGTGATAATGCTATCCGGTTGTCCAAACAAAAGTAAATGGAGCGGGGGTTCAAACCCGGGATTTAAAGGCTGAAAGTTGAACGTTTTAACTATTAATTCACACCAACAACTTAATCTTGTTCTTGTGTGATAATGTATTTTAATTCGAGTGTATATAAATATATTTTAGAACTGTCGATTGATTCCAGGTTCCCGAAATTTGCATTGTTCTTCCGACTGATAATATCTACGTTTTGTTTTATGGATTACGGCAAACTTATGTTCCTTCGCTGGTGCATTGATTTTACACAAATACAAAGTAAAATCATATTGATTTAGGGCTAGGGGATAAGTAATTGCGGTTCTGGAGTCTCACTTCACTCATGGTAACCCAATACATATGCTAGTATAAATGGATGGTAATTAAACACTCAATAAAACGGTTACCTTATTCATTTCGCAGGAATGCTATCAACTTTCTTATATATGTATAAAAGGAGAGCGGTGTTTTGTATCATGAATTACCCATTAATGGGGTCTATACAAAAAGCTATGCTATATTGTCTATTTCCTTATATTGATTAGGCTTTGTCAACAGTGTAATCTATCGGAGTAGATTTTCACTTTTCATGATGATTCTCAAAATTGTATGAATCAGTCTGCGACAATCAACTTAGTGGCAGAAAAGTATTTTGACACAAGCTGCTATACCACATCAGCACGATTCTATGAAATTAACAAAGCAACTGAAAAGTCTAAATAATAGTAGTATAATATAAACATTGAAAATATGGTTAAAAAGAAAGTACCTCTGTGGGATTGTCTAACTTAACTATTAGTGTCCAATTAAAGGAGTTTTCACGAGGTTTATTTGCCTTTCTGGTATATGCCATTTAATGGCGAACACTGGCGCTAAATCTTTGGATTGGAAAGGTCAGACACTGCTCTTTAGTCAGAATACTAATCAGTTGGGTACCAATGTGTCTGAATCTATTTTAAAGCCTCGTTGAGATCAAATTTTTGGTCAATACATCTACGTCCAGGTCGGAAACACATTTCCTTTGGAATTCTACTTACGCGTTGGGTTATTGTGGGAACTGATATTTTAAACTTTATTAGTTAAACAGATTTCTCTAAACTTGCCACATGATCCCAATCTTTTATTATAGGCTGGGACAATCACTGATAAAGACCAGTCAGATATGACTAGATTCCATTTTTAGACTATCTCTAGTGTGTCGCAGCCAACCTAAGTGATGAAACTGATCCCTTATCCTTAAAGATATCTGGTGTTAACCTAAGAGATCATACTGCGCTACTTCGTTTAAATTTAGATATGATCTTTCTGAATTTCGCAAATATTTGAGCGACTTGTGTTAGATTGTTTGAAAGTAATGGGTAACTTGGGAAAGAATGAAAGTCAGTTAAAATATCTCTTAAAGTTCCCTATCCATGATTACAATTCTCTGAGCAATGAATTGCCGTTGTCTTTTTCTGAAGTAGTCTCACCGACGGCTGATATTATAGTACCTAGTGTTACCCATTGCTGTTGCATCCTCAATCCAATTTGCTTTTTTTGTCAACAATTGTCCGTGATCGTTGTCAGTTTACTTTGAAGTCGTTTTTCATCAATTCAGTAAAAGCTTATGAAATCTGTTATTTCCCTAACTTTTGGTTTAAACTAGTAGTATCAGCGCTGTATTTTATCCAGTAAAACACATCAAAATGCACGCTCTATGAGAAGCGGTCGTCTTTTGTCACACATAAATGGTAGCTGGTAGCAAGGCAGTCTATTTTTGTCTATCTTGGGGGTCACCTGGTTGAATAGTGTCTCTCTTTATGATAGTTGGTACTTGCTAAGAATAAATGATTATCTAATCCATAGTTACTGACCAGAAATAGCATTTTGTTCACATTAGTGACACACATTAAACTCAAAGCTAGATGAGGACGGGCGATACTGAAAACAGAAAAAAGATGAAGCAGTGAATAGGAGATTTGAGTGTAAACAAAATGATCTTGAAGTATGAGGGCACTTATCATTTCTCAGACACACATACTGTGGAAGATTGTCTTTTGACACCTGAGAAGACTGAATTAGTAGTGTCACCGCCGTCATATAGCAATGTAAAATGAAGAAGACAAGCAATCTGTACTGCAAGCACTTAAAACTGAGAGTACACTATAATGAGTATTTAAATCACTTGATTCACGTAGACTAAATTTTGTCTCACGTTAATTTAATGACTGTTCAGAAACTCGTTCCTATCGAAACGTTCTAACATATCCAGAGTAAATAGTCGCATTACAAAAACTGTTACCCGATACATCCTGTAGCATGTAAGTTTGCTGGGTCATAGTTTACAACATAGTTCCAGTCAGATAGTTGGTTAGTAACGCAAAAACATTCTTGGTCTCATTAAAAGGTGTACTAGACGTGTCCACTACCTTGCTAGAAGTTTTTTGGTTAAATAACCATTGCTAAATCATGGCTTATAAGGTGCCATACAGAAGTTTTACGTCAAATAATGTATGTTAGGGTTTAACAATCGGTCATATGCAACGTAGATTCTGACATGTACATCGGTTCATGCTGCCATATCACGTTAGCACAGCGACATGAAGTTGTCAAGACAATTCCCAGAGTAGTAACGGTAGAAAATAACAAGTATAGAGAAAGATGTGAGGAAATTTTGGAACTCAAGTCTTGAAGTGAATACACTTCCACCATTGCAAACGATTGTGAACCATGTCACCCACGTTTTCAAATCATTAGGATCTGCCAATTTCATCTATTTTTTTCATATCTTAGAGGCATCAGTTTTTTCTTAACCTCTTAGCTATGATCCCATATTGAGAAACACTTATCAGTCCGAGATACACAAAACAATTCCATCTGGCAAAAATTCACCCAAACGAGGACTTACTCTAGTTGCTGTTCTTCAGAAATAACTAGTTTGGGATTGAAAGTCAAAGTAATTGTATATGTTGGTCGCCTCGTTTATCTCACTAGTAATATATTTGCCTACATAAGTACTATAGAACCCTTTCATTCTGAATATCAAATTACTTAACAGTATGTTCTAAGTAGATATACTTCATGTATTTTTCGTTTAATTTCCAGGACTATGCTTACTTTGGAAGTCATCCAAGTTATCAGTTCATTGATATGTAGCATATAATCCTTGCCGATTATATTCATTCTAAGTGGGTTAATGACACGTACAGATGAGTGAGTCTTTGAGATGTATACCACACTAAGTGTATGAAAGGTGATCTCGCTAGTATAAAATTGTCACTTGTCGAGCCTGAAATGTTGAGTATGGGAAGATGTTTATAAATAGTTGATAAATGATTATAATTTTTCGTTTTTCTACTGGATTATTTCTACCACGAGTCTATTTTACACAATGTTTTCCTTCCATAGGAAACAAGAAGCAGCTCCTGCACCAACAGCTTTACCTCCTCCAGTACAACACGCCGCACCAAGTTCTCAGAGTCAGAAACAGCCGTTGAAGCATGAAGCTTCTCACAGGCGTCGTCGGGAAGCTTCAATGTTCGGCACTACTCCCCAATAACAAAACAGAAACTATTAGCATTCATAGAAGTGAAAAGTTATTCCAATCAATAGGACTACTCTATCTTTTATTTTCACGTGCTAACGCGCGAAATCTGCATCTGGAAACCTAATCACTAAGTTATCCTACTATGCATTATGTCGATGACCTCCTATCTTCGTCTAACTTGTTTCATTTACAAAAGAAATCACCATTTTGGTGTTTTGTATGTGATTTCCTTCCTCGTGTTAAACTTTTTGTCAGTATCATTTGTCTCGCGTCAGTTCAATTGATTCTTGCCATTAGGGATTGTAAAGCATTTCATTGTTGTTTAACTCCGGAGTTAAAACTATAAATTCCCGTATGATTTGCATTAATTACGTTTACTTATGTTATCATAAATCATGAAAGCTTATGTTCAACTTCCTCTCGTATTACTCTTTTTCAAATCGACATTTGGATAAATACACATAATCATAGTTATATATATATTTATGAACTGGAGTGTGCTACAGTTATAAAAGGGGGCATTTACAACTCGCATAGTTCTTGTATTCGTTCTTTCGTCATGAAAGCGCGACCCACACCAGTTTTCCGATATTCACTTCGCATACTTAAGTATTCCTCTTCAAATTTTTTGAGTTCATCTAGGTCTAGAAGGTACCTGAAGAAAGAAGAGAAGTGCATTCAAATGACTCATTGTGCAAATATTAGGATGGCTTCCGATATAAATGGTTAGACTCAGCTTTATTTGTTTTCGTTTAAGTGATAACGTGTATTTAGATAAAAATATCTCACCTCATCTGACACTGTTCAAATATCTGATATTTAGGTTTGCATTTCCAGGTACCGAACCACTCGCCTCGTTTTCCACGTATGCACTTTCGCCAATCTTTCCACTCTTCTACACATAATTCACTAATAAGTTTCTCTTGTACAAATTTTGAAATTACGTTGCTGCGTTCTGTACTCGAAATATACTTACTGTTAGGATCACCTGATTAGACATATAAAACAACAGGCAAGTTACCAAACCCAACTGGGCCTCCAGTATAAGAAGCATAGCCTTGCATTTTATTTCTTGTAGATTTCCACGATTAACTGTGTGTATTGTTAAGCTGAAACGAGAATAAAACAATGACACAGTATCTCCGGAACTTACTAAAAGGCAGCTATAATGTCTCCCTATTTAGTATTTTTTGCGGGGATCACGGATCAGCATGAGTTTCGAACTGTTCAACAGTATAAACATTTAACTTTTGTCTTCATCTTCTCTTTATACGTTAGGTGTGGCTTAGAAAGCCACATAGTTTTTGGGTTTGATAGTGGGAATATTAATATGACAAGTCCCCAAGTATGTTACTCCACAGAGTGTCAGTCATGACTTCTAAGATAGGCTACTTGGTGAGATTTCTGGATTGCAGTTAATTATAATTATTATTTCGACACACCAGGTAGATATTGTATTCATCCGACTATAGATCATTTCACAAACATTACCAATTTGTCTGTTTACGAGAAATCATGAACTAATTTGATGACTGCGTTAGGTTTATTTGTAACTGTGATGAAATAACTCTGATCAACCAGTTTGTATGATTTGCCTAGTCTAACCACATAATTGTTTAAAAAATGTGAGTTTTATTGAAGTACGCGTGCAGATGTCTTACTATGATTAACACCTGAGGTTACTTCTGGAGAAATAAGTTAGATAATGTGGTTCCATAGTTTGTACGAATGCCTGACCAAAACAATGGCAGGAAACGGTAGTGTAGAAAAAACGGTCCATATAATCTTCCAGAGGTTTACACTGACAATCAAACCGCTTTGAAACCCTCATACAGTTGGAAACTAAGGGATCTACTATCAGAAGTTGTTACACCTTACATTTACCTGACAGCTTCACGTAGTGTTAAATTTGCCTATCAATTAAAAACAAACATGAAGGATACCCTAGTTTGTTCTATGCGGTAGGCTGATACTATTCTGCTGTCCATGCTCCCAAATTTTGAATTAATTGCCACTGAACACCATGTCAGTTAAACGTGTATCTAGTGTATACTTTTCACACATGTTACTTAAGAAACATGTCAGTGATAGTACCTAAAAATGACAGCTCGAAAGATGGATAAGCGCTTTCTCGAATATTTTGGAAGAAAAGGTAGTGTTTCAAATAATCTCATGAATTGAGCATCCCACAAAGTTTCTTGCAGTAACTACGTATACGTCAGACGAAAACTAAAGTATGGGAAAAGAAACTGCAATTTTAGTCTAAAACACTACTCAAACCTCAGTGGAATCGGAAATATACGGACCAGATTTTAAGGCTTAGAAATACACATACCCAATCAAACAACAAAGGGGATCCTATTGCAATAAAACTATGAATACAAATCTTCATGTGCACGTTTTAACAAGGTGAGAGAGTTTTACTAATAAGCATATCACTTAGTATCAGGTAGCTCACTTCATGGCGTTTATTGGTATAAAATATCCACCCATAGAAAGTAAGATAATTTCCCATATTGACTTCGCTAAATCAAACCTACCTCCTTGTCCCAACGGCCTTGAGTGATGGCAGAAAAAATGCAACTCATGAGTAAGAAATTCTAGTTACGTTCATCAGAGTACACTGATCCCATGCTTGTGTTACCTCTAACCGCTATCGATTGTTTTGATCAGTAATAAATGACACATTCCATAAGTTTACTGAATCGTAATTTCATTTTGTATGTAGCGATAAATAAATCCCCAAAATAAAAAGCTCTAAGTTTTCGACTTTGCATGCTGACCATATGTTTTAGTGGACTCATCTAGCTGAAGGCGCTCGGTCATGCATCCGCACCAGATCACGTGTGGTAACGCCGTGCTCAACATCAACCGCAATCGCTAGCCAGATTAGATCAGAGAATTCCGATATATTGGTCATCGCCAAATATACTCTTTCGATCTCCTCGACTCTGTCTTTTGATTTCTCTGGGTGGGAACGAACTATAATAGAAGGTGTTACTGGTAGAAGCGTTGCCAAACACTGAATACCTGTGACATGATCATGTATTTCAATAGTTACTCCTCTTTATTCTCTCACAATCTGTGCCTCACACTCTTTCAATACCTGAGGTATCTTCAGGTTAGATCTTTACCTGTCAAAGACCGAACGTTACAGACATTATGAATCTGTTTTCTGTGCACAATAGGCGTATTTTGTGCTCATTTTAGTGGGTGAACAATGCATATAAAGCATACTTTTAACTGAGGATTACCATTGTAGCTCTATGTCCTCCATTGTTTACTTTATTCGTCTACGACGTTTGCGAAGCGCATAAAAACCTGAAACGAAATCAATTGCGGGAATTATGACGTTTTATTCAGCATTCATCCAATTAGTGAATTTGAATATACTCTGAAATGCCAGATGTTGAGCCTTTATTGGATACTGAAGATGGATGGATACCCCCACACTGTATATATTGTATGAAATTTGACCATATGACTAGAATTGCACTGTGAGTAAGCCTCTCTGTAGGAAGCGATTTTCTACAGGTGTAACTCTAAGCTATTCTCTAGACCATCGAGCACAGCGTCTTGGTTTAACCAAAGTCAAAAGTATTAGGTTATTTGGCTTGATAAACTTTGCTTTTTTCTAAGGCATAAATTATCATAGTTAGCATACAAAATAAACATTGCAGTCTATCAACCCAGGCAAACACAGAAACATAAATAACATACCGAACAGTAGCTAGAGGATAGGAAAAATGAGACAACAAGGCAAACATAGTTTAATTATGAACATAAAATTGAGATTGATGAATAAACAAGACAGTCATACAAGGTTAAAGAAAGTTAATGTGGTGGTAAGCGTTTCACTTTATCACTGGTGAGTTCGTTTATCGATCACACTTTGCATCACGATGAGGTGAAAGTATATGAAGGTCCGACCTAGCCTGAAGGCTCGATGCATGCTGAGATAGTACAAAGAAATACGAAGTGGATAAAAGCAAAAATAATAGTTAACCGATGAATCATTTTGATGTTTTCTACATCCCCGTTGCAAATAACCTAAATGTGAATGTCGCGATAACACACTCAACACCTAACCTTGCAAGTAACTAAAAATTTGCCACCCCGTGACCATAACACTTAACAATATTTCACTCTCATATAGCCTCCGTAGTTCAAATTTTATATTTTCCAGTTTTTGCACCACATCTTCTGATTGTTCTTCTTTTGTTACATACTTCGTACATTCTTCTCATAACTATTCAATAGACAGCTGACTTTTGAGTTTCCTACTGACCCCACAACATTTTGCACACATTAGACACTCAGTTTGCTTCGGAACACGGCCAGGAATTACTCGGGTGTGAAATCCGGAACACTGAGTAACTGTTCATAAGAAACATCATCATCCATAATGTGGTGTGAGTCCCCCCTTATTTTTTTCCTATCGGTTTTCTTTTTTTACCATGTATGTTGCTATCCGAACACTGCTTTTCAAATCCTTACTCACTACACTAAAAGTATTTCATTCAATCACTCTTCCACCAGCTAGTTTATTTCCGCTAACTTGTTTTGCTTGGAAACTGATACTTTGCGGGATGTCTCGATTTTCTACATACGGTCTGTCAAACTATCTGTCCAAAACGCTTGTACAGGGTACTTTTAAAAAGTGCTTTCTATCAAGGTGTGGAGCACAATTGAAATGTAGCGAACAATTGCAATCTAATAATTATTCCCAAATGAGTCCAGTATGGAAAAGAAATGGAGTATAGAGTTAATAACCAGCAAGCATCAGTGATGCCAATCCACCCATGTTCGTAGAGCGGGACATTTCATTCGTTCACAGGTGTAGTGAACAGAACACGAGTGGAGACAATCGAATGTATTTAGCACAAAATTACTGACTATCTCAATAAATCTGAATACCATAAAGTCAATCGTCAATTTGCAAAATATCAATGCATCATATCAAACTGGACTGTTTCCGTTGCAAACACTAATCCATTGTCTCCCATTCCATTGTACATGCGTTTTCTTACAAATTCCATTGTGCTCTCACTCTTCCTTTCTTGATCTTCACCTCATCTTCTGCTGCCAGATATTACGTTTTAACTCGCGACATATACTACTTATATCAATATAAGTAGCACACACTACAATGGCAATGCAACTATTCAATTAGTCTTGAGCCTGCTATGTCAGACATATATACTACAATTGCTAACATAATAAACGTTTCGTTGGTAAAGGAACCAAGAAAAAATCATTAACACCTATCAATATTGTAACATTCTGATTATCCAAATCAAAACTTAGCTTCATAAGGTTTCAGATGCATCGCGTATGCTTGAATTTGAAACTTCCACCAACACTTTATAAGAATCATGAGATGAAATAACGAAGGAAGATTAGCTAAGAGACACCTTTGTGATAAACTAACTCGGCAGAACAATAAAAACATGAAGTTCAGCGAAGAGATCTCTCTTCAACGACTTTATTATCAAGCTGTACAATTGTATATAAATATTAAAATTTTTTGTTAAGGTACTAATTCCGCAAAGAAATGTGAACAAGAACAATCAAGATGACGCAATAGTAAGATTACAATACTAGATTACATTATGCGAATAATCATAAGAGATTTAGTGAATGTAATGAGATCATTAAAAGGATTATATGATGATTAGGAGTAGTTGAATTATAGTATGAACTAAGAATACCAGAAATAACGTATTCGGATCAAGAAGTACCAGCTAAGCACGAACGAATGTATTGTATTTGGAATTCAAAATCAAGCATTCAACAAGTACAGAGGAATCATTAGTTCATTCAAACACCACAGATTAATAATCATTTTTGTTGCAATAATTAAAGACCATAGAGGTGTAGAAATAAATAAAGTGATACGACGAGCATTTATGATGAAAATAAGGAAAATATAAGACACAAGTGAAGGGGAATATAGTGATAACAATAATGTTAATTAAGACCATGATTAAGATAACGGTAGGACGTACTTATTTTGTATGCAGAGTTCTGGTTTGAGCTCATGGATGGTAAGACTGTAGCGTGGCGCCGAGTTGAGATTAACTATGAACACCGCTACAAAGAAACATGTGCCAAGTTAATCAGAAGGCGAAGGTTGGACGTAACCAAATAAATCCATAAAATCCCCGAGAAGCCAAATACCAGAAGGCAATTAATGGACCAAATCGAGATATATATTTGCTGGCGATCTCGTGGTATCGAAAGGATACCGAGATCGTGCCAGGATACAAGCTTGGTTACAGAACGTAACCGAATTCGCGCGAAGTTACAATCAATGTGTGTGTATAAGAATGGAAGCACAAAATAGCTGTCACTAGCACAGTCAAACAAAAGCACATTAAAATAAGCACTGGTACAGTTGGTTATAATAATAATTGTTTTTATTAAACCAGTCGTGTTCTCGTGATAAATGTGAGTCACTACAAGACTTTCGGCTCTGTTTAGGAGTTGGATACGAAGAAATCTGGGTAGATTTGAACGAATTGTACTTGCAACCTTGAAATTAAACTGTTGATCCGTAGAATGATTACAGTTGATCAAGTAATTATGTATAGAACTCTTAACTTCTCTTCTCTCACCCCAGTAGAACCAAACTAGGACATGTTCCCGTAAACGAGTTGAAAGTGGGCGGTGACTACGGCCAATGTACCTTGTTCTACAAGAGCAGATGAACCGGTAGATGCACATGGAGGCCTTTATTTATTGTGATAAAGCATTTGTAATCACTTTATTCATCTAATTACATTCACTAAATCTATTGTTATTGTTCGTATTACGTAATCCAGTATTGTAATCTTTCTATTGCACATCTAAGTTATTCGTGTTCACATTTCTTCAAGGAATTAGTACTTTAACAAGACATTATCACCTATATAAAACTGAACAGATCAATAATAAATTCGTTGAAAAAAGATTCCTTCGCTGAACTTCGTGTTTTTTTAATTTTTAATGTTTAAATGCGAACAATAGAAGTCAAACCGTGAATGAAATTAAATTTTTTCATCAACGACTTTGCAAGGATGAAATTATGAAGAGTATTTCATGTTGGGCTGTCTATGGTAGGCTCTGTGTTTATAAGCTGAATAACATTTTCTGTGCAGCCAGAGTGTATACTCTGTAAAACGCTAACATTGACGGATAACCTCATCTACCGTTTTACTGTTTTTTCTCTCTCGTAGCTAAAAAGATTTCTGTGATTTGTTAATTGTTTTTTATTTTTGGCTAAAAATGAGTGAGTGCTCATATTTTTCAGCCAATGACAAGTTCCAAACTTGTTTTGTTCAATCTGAAGTTTTCCTTTAGAAAGCAGTAGTAGGAGTTCATGTCATATCTCTACTCAGCTTCTCTGACTATCCTCTCACAAAAGTTCTTCAGGTATTCGGTATCACTGCATACTTTAAACGATTTCTGCCAAGTATAAGCTTTATAAATGCAAATAACTTGTTTTCATTATGTTTTTACAAGGTGAAGTCACCAAAACGGCTATAAACATATTGGACAGTTTCACCATGTAAATCTAATTAATACCTAGTTGATAAATGTCCACGTACCATCTATTGCGAATTCTTACTGATTTAATGATGTAGTCTCCTTACTAACACTAGTGAGATAATATCTCATTTTTAAA